TCTCACTAAACAAGCATACTCTTGTACATTTCATTTTATAAAATTCCGACGCAATTTCATGCAATTGGAAAAGAGTATCCCACACACACAATTAATTTACTCGTACTATGTACATAAGTGGTACATATTATTTGATTAATTATTTTTATGAAGTGGCTATTTCTGTACGATTTCAATTGAATAAATTGTCAGCGGGTTTTTATACCCTGAACTCAAAGAGTAAAAGGGTATACTAGTTTTGTTCGAAGGTATGTAACACACAGAAAGAGGCGTGGCAGACCCCACAAATTTTATACAAGTATATTAATCAAGGTGAGTATGCCTGAAAGTATAAGGTCTAGAATACACGATTTTTCATAACTCCCACAAACTCCAATTTATTTACATCCAGATAGTGATTATGTGTCCCTATGTTATGTTTCATCATGATAGGTCAATTATGAAAAAAGTTATAGCCACAAAAATAATCTCAGCTTATGCTCTGCCCGCAGCTGTTAGCTGTAGTTGGTGCTGATTTGACTTATTTCTGTATACTGCATACATACACATATGTATACTATATAGCAGATATAAACACGCATAGACACGATTCTGATGTAAATGTATCGTGTTAAAACTGTAGATAAACTCCACTGTCTCCACTGATGTATTGTAGGTATATATTGACTATTTCTTGTTTAATTATATTAATTTATTTAATTAGTTTTTTTTTAATAGTTTTAAATTTATTTTTTGTGCGAGTGGGATCCGTGTAGAGCTGGGAAAATTTATACCTAGAAGTAGATAAAGTGACTCTTCACTTGAAGTCGTCCATGACTTGCCTGGCTTCTGTCGGTAACCAAGCGTTGAGGGCGTTTGGAGAACCTTTCGAAGACTTGCGGCGTCGGTGTTCTCGATATCAGAGCGGAAGTTCTGTCAAGGAGATCGTTTCGACTGTCTGACTATTTTCTTGTACTCTGACAGGCTTTATTTGTATGCACACTAGCGTTGCTCCCTTCCTTGGGATCTGGATGGAATGAAAAGTTTCCTGGCCTTTTTTCTTGACTCACTGACTTGTGGAGTCCACCAGGTAGGCTTGTGTTTGTCTCTTGGTTTCCCAATGGGGCATGATTTCTGTAACGCGTCGAGTTCAACTCGCCTGTGTTTGGACCCTGAGGTGGGTAGTCTGGTAGTAGATTACCTATATACAAGGTGTGTTCCAAATTAAACAGGACTTTTTTTCAAAAAAACAGAACAAATGGTTCTTCTGCTTCAATACACCTTTTTTCACTATCCAAAAGCATGTCGAATGAGTGTTTTAGCTCATTGGCCGGTATGGCCGCCAGTATGCCGGTGCAAGCCTTTTGAATGGCCTCTACGTCTGCATAACGTTTTCCTTTCATGAGCAAATGCATTTTTCCGAAAAGGTAGAAGTCGCACGGTGCCATATCAGGTGAATACGGCGAGTGGTTAATGGTTAAAATGTGATTTTTGGTCAAATAATCGGTCACAATCGGTTGATTTTTGAGCAATTTTTGGTCGTCAGTCAATTTGTGCGGAACAAACCGTGCACACACCTTTCGTAAGCCCAAATGTACGGTCAAAATGCGATAAATCGATGTTTTGGAGATGTTCAATTCCATTTCCATCAATTTCAATGATGATTTCGGCTGATTTTTGATGAATTCACGCACAGTTTCGATGGAATTTTCGGTGATCACGAGTTTTGATTGGCCCACATGTTGATCGTCATTTATGTCCTCACGACCTCTTTGAAAACGTTGAAACCACTCGTGCACTCTGCTACGGGATAGGCAATCATCGCCATAAACTTGTTCCATCAATTGAAACGTTTCGGTAAAAGTTTTACCAATTTTAAAACAAAATTTAATGTTGGCTCCTTCGAAGCTCATTTTCGCACCGATAACACAAGCATACTGACACTTAAAACGCAATAACTTCACTTCCAATCGATGAAATGTCATGAAAATTCTCACTGGACAATCGATAAGGATGAATCAGCATGACGTTTGTCTGGATAAACGCAAGGATCTCAGAAACTATAAAAGCTGAAATAACCAAAGTTGGTATCCAGATTCTCCTACGTCCGAGAAAGGACGAGTTTATTTTATTATTTTTAAATAATAAATATTTATTTAATTATATTCACATATCATATCTGTTCGGCGCATTTGGAAACACGTGTATCATTACTTTTGGCTTGCATTATATTCACTGCAGTTTCAAGAATGTCGTATTACGTCGATATAATGCTTGATTTCTTGTAGGCATTTCCTTCCATCCTTCCCTCCAGCAACTATATCATTATATATCATTATATATAATATTTTGGAAAATCGCGATTTGCATATAATTAATTATTTATTGTTAAAATCAACGCGATGTATTACGTCTTGTCACGAAACAATAACAACTCATACACATCCTTAGAACCAACACAAAAAATTGGATTAATGATTATGTTTAGAATTCCAAAAAAAGGTACGCCTTTAAAAATTGTTGTAAAAGTCAGCGATTCCAAAGGTTCTGGATCGTTCAGGATCCTCCAGGATCATAATAATGTTATTTATTTATTTTAATGGAACGCAACAGCCTAGCTAGCCCAACAGTGAAGTAACCTGCACCCAGACAAACTTTTGGCACTGAGTTATATACGCCCATAGCAGAAGCAAAAGGAAGAAGCGCGAACTTGATGCAGCTTGTATAAAATATCAAACAAAAGTATATAACTCTATAGAGATTTTCTGTGCTGTGTGGTTTATGTAGCTTTTGAAATGTGGTCAGTATTTACAAAACTCTGTAGCGGGGAGAGGAGAGGGAAAATCAAAAGCTAACATAAACTCGTGTACATACCAAGTTTGGTTAATGTGCGTTCAACCGTTTCCGAAATAAAAAAATATATTTTGATTAAGTAATGCACGATGCGTTAAAATAATAACTTATGCATATGATCAATAGAAAAATGTCAACAAATCCAACTCAGTTCCATTTAAAGGCGAAATTTGCGCCATAATAATGAATGCGTGGTCGACTTCGAAAATTTTCGTAGGGGGGCAGTGCCCCCCTGCCTACATTATGTACATATGTATGTACTAACATACATATGTATAGTATGTACTTGTATATCGGAAATCAGTTGTAATATTAGTGTAGATTACATAGTGTAGTTAGCTCAAACCATGCTGGTTTTGTTACCACTTTATGGTACACCAGTATACATACATACATATATATGTATGTACATACTTTTGTATGTATGTGGTTATGTACTTAATTTAAACAGGCATAGTATGTATAAATATTGTACGAGCAAAAAGAAACATATTCATACATATATCCACATGTTTGTATGTACATTATCAAAATTCACAGAATATTGTTATTATTAAAAGCGGTTAACATAACCTCAAAGGGCAGATACGAACAACCAAAGTCAACAGTAGGCTCCCGTGCCTAAGGAAAAGCTGCGGAGCAAGCACATGAGGGAGGGAGAGCAGTACGGAAGCGTGTGCGTGTGTCTCAGCGTGTCGCCAAAATTGGCGTGGGTAGTAAAAAAAATGGCAAATGGAAGAAGAAAAATTGAACGCCCACACGTGTCAGAAATTCATCGTCGGCACCAGTAAAAGTAGCGGAAAATAGCAAAAGACTTTGCACAACGGAAAAATTTCATTGAGAAAGGGTCATGCGAATCAAATTGTATTTACCACATTTCGCATTTGGTATGACTGCATGAAATATGTACATACATATGTATGTACGTACGTATGTAGATACGTTGCGATTGGTTTAAAACGAAGGAGTGGCAGAGCGTCTGGGTGGGTAGGTGTCTGGAGAGATGTGCCTAACGATTGTGCAATCATAAATAAATAAAAAAAAAGTACATACATACATACATTTTAACATCTACATATGCATATGTATGTAGGTACATAGGTTAACACTTTTATTATTGTGCACATTTGAGTGACATTTGCACTAAATTTCTGCGAAAATATTTTTAAATGTCTCAACTATAGTTTCCAAATGATAGACCAACTATTCCGCCTCGCTCCCAGTATTTTGTCAGTTAGTCAGTCAGTTAACCACCGCTACCATCGCCCACTGGATTTGTGTGTTGACGCATGGCTTTGTTTGGCTCAAATGCCCTTGAGTTTGTCCTTTTGAAGCGCGAGAGCGCAAGAGCATAGCAGCAACGGAATCTGTTATACAAACAGACATATATACATATATACTTTATACTGCGCATGTAAACTGGTTTGCTACCGTATAACAGTTTAGCTCTCACTTGTTCACTATGAATGTGTATGCGTATTTTTGTATCGCCACCACCGACGCAGCATATCGGTGTAGGAGGCTCGTCACCGGCATTGCTGTGTGTGTGTCTTGCGCACGTGTTAAAAAGTATACATACATACATATGTACATACATATGTACATAAGTAGCTACTGCTACCACTTGGCGGCACGCCACCATGACCAACCCACCAAATGTATTGATAGCCCCCGATAGCCGCAGTCGCTGTCACACATTGTTGTTCTACCATGATGATGCAAGCTTATGTTGTAGTTGCGTTGGCTATTATTAAATACAGACCAAAGCGCATGCGCTTGCCGCACCCCCATACTTTTTAACATTATACGCATCATATCCTGCAAAAAGGTTAATTTAAGGTGAAATACAAGCATAACAGTCACTCGTCTATCAATGGAGGACATTCTACTATGATGGTAAACAGCTGTCTGAAATGAGCAGTGGGTAAGCGCATGCGTTGCTGTGCATAGTATTGGAGCAACAATTGATTGCATGTGTGTGTCACTATGAATTAATTTATTTAAATTACATTTTGTTTAATGCTCATGAGTTTTACAATTCATGAGAATTTTGTCTTGCTGTAAATGTTAACGTAGTGGCAGCACTGACTTGTAGCGTACATGATTCACCCGTTAAATTCCATGGAGCTGCCCCTCTTTATAAAATAAATGCTTGCCGAAGTGGCAGCATAGTAAATTCGATTGCCGCCTGCTATTCTTATAAAACCATGTCTTGTAGCAACTTTTTAATAAGAGCTGGAACACGCAGTGGACTACTAAATACACAAGGAACTGCTGCGCCTCTATTAAATGTTTTGGTACGGCATGGTCACCGAATGCGCGGCAAGGCGCCCGGTGAAGCGCGATCTATGGAGCAGCGTTTACAGGGTAAGATGTTGATGTAATCACCCTGGCATTGGGACGAATTATTAAATTAAAACATTACCATAGAAGAAAATGTCAGTGATCCAGAAGTGACGGCTCGCATCAACATTGGTTTTCCACAGCTGAGACCATCGCGTTCAGTACAACTCAAGGCACGCCTAGAGCACTTAAAGGCACAGCGTGCCAACGTTGAGCTGGAAAAACAAGCCCGTAGTAATACATTGCTGATTGACCTAGACAAGGTGCAGCAGGCGTATAAGCAGACGACGGGACAGTATGATCTACGTCTTATGGCAGATCATTATGGAATCTTCGATCACTTGTTTGGCAGTGCTTACTTTATACCACGTGTGGCGCTAGATATATGGTACGACACCGATAGCTCCAGCTCCAGTCCGGTGTATAATGGCAATGTTATTAAGCCAGCGGAGGCAACAAAAGCACCACACGTAAGCTTCGATGGCATGTTGGATCCTATAACAGGCAAGGTAAGCAAGCGTAAGTAGAGATTTACGAGCCTAGCCATACTTATTGTTTCTCTTGAAGCCAGCGACTAACGGTAATAGCTATTGGACGCTTCTGGCTACAAATCCTGATGCGCACTATACACAGACTTCTGCTGAGTGTCTCCACTGGTTCATGTAAGTGCTCCGCTACACCCTCAATGAAGTTGGGCTTATTTTGTGCTTTTATACAGCGCCAACATACCCAATGGCAATGTCAAAGACGGTGAAGTTTTGGCCGAATATTTGCAACCATTTCCGCCTAAGGGATTCGGCTATCAGCGCATAGTTTTCGTTTTGTACAAGCAACAAGGGAAACTTGATTTAAGTAGCTACATGTTGTCCGCTAAAGATTCCAAGAATTTGGAGAAGCGCACGTTCAGCACCCTCGACTTCTATCGCCAGCAACAAGAGCATTTGACGCCAGCGGGTTTGGCTTTCTATCAGACTAACTGGGATGAATCATTAACGCAATTTTATCACAATGTCTTAGGTAAGTGAGGCATCTTTTAGGTTAAATATTTTATTACCTCTACGCTTTGTTGTTGCAGAACTTAAGGAGCCAATATACGAGTACGACTTTCCCAAACCCTATCTGGCCGATCAGAAATTTTTCCCGCTTAAACAGGCCTTCAATCTGTACATGGATAAGCATCGCGACCCCAAGCAAGTTAACAAGGAATATTTAGAGCGTAAGCTGATGAAAACGCATCCTTTCGAGGGCCCTGAGAAACCCCTACAGTTTCCCATGGCGCATCCCATACGCGATGTGCCCTCATGGCAAAAAACCGAGATACGCAAGGAGCGATTGGGCACGGGGCGCGTACAGGATTATTAAAGTATAAGAAATTCCACTGCAGCTTTTAGTTTTGTTTTATTATTTGTTTATTTCAGCAATGTTTTTGCTCGGTTCCTGTAATAAATAACAAGTTTTGCTTTTCGTAGCTGTTGGAAGTACACGTATTGAAGTACATGGATTGTGCATCTTAAATGTAATAAATAAATACAGTGTACTGTCTAATAAATACGTGAATTAAAAAACTGTTTTAAAAATATGTAAACATGTTGCAAAAGTTAACAATTGTTTTTGGTTACAAAGAATTAAGTCGTGTATTATTTATCAGACACTGCCCGGTAAAATCTAAAACTGATCAATGTTGCAAACAACAAAACTTTCGTTGTGATATCGCCAACTATGTAAGTGGAATATATTCAGGCTTGTTCTCAATTCCGACATTATTATGAATTGTCCATTTTATAATTTATTTTTTAATGATAAAAGTACGTAATATTTTTGTAATAGTACATATTTTTAGTCTCGAATATATTGTTTTAAGATTTTAACCGCTTTCATTAGTCCTTTGCTTTTCAAATTGCTACTATTATTTTTCTTAGCATTGGCTTAAGAAAGTAAAGCTATAGCTTTTGGCTGAGAAATGGGAGTACGACAATAAAAACGTAGGAATGATTAAAAAAGGGGAACAGGATCGGTGTTTATTACAATTATTTAATTTAAACAAGCTGAGCATATGCTTTTACCCGCTGGAGACATTCATCGATACTGCCCACATTTACGTAAATACATTTTTGAATACGTATTGTATGCAATTCTCATCGTCTGTTTCAAATAACATACTCTAACGAAAAGTAATTATTCAAACACTTTAATGCTAGAATGACAGTACAGCACTGTCGAGCTAACACGGCTTCTGGTTTATTTTGATTCAGATGTTATTCTAGCTGACATTGTATGAACAATGTGTTGTAACACCTCTCACATTGTATTGTTCGTTTTTAATTATTATTTCTATTTTTTTGCATTTTGCGAAAGTCGGTTAAATCGTTTTTGGCACAGATTGAAACGATAGTTGTTTATTTGTTTTTAGTCCCATTGCCCAGACTACAATGAATAAGCTCAAAGACTTTTTCATTTTCAATTGCGAACCGATACGGTTCGGGAGAATTGTGATTGTGATTTTAAAAGCAAATAAAAAAGTCCAATTGCGACCAGTACATTGCACACATGTGTGTAGAGGATGTTCACAATGTCGGTGGCCAATGGCGTACTTCTTTGCTCTGTTGTGGTCTACATACATGTATAACGATTGTTAGGTAGTATGTTGATTTCTTATTTTAAATTTCGCAACGTCTACGAGCAGACTGTCTAGCATGAGTACATGCGGACCTTTTCTATAGTTTTCTCTTTCTTTTCCATGCCTTAGGTCTCTGCCTTTCCATAGGTTCCCAATGGAGGTCTATAAATGTCCGGAAGTGCCCTCACCTGAAGCACATTAAACGCATATTTACGCTTCCCAATGTTCTTTTCCACATTATCCATACGCGTCCCTTCACTGCAAGCCAACGGAAAGATCGATGAGTATTAAGACAGCAAAATAGCTCATGCTACTTACCTGCGCATTGTGTTGACTACATGGGGCACATGCTCCAGCGGCAACTGAAACTCGCGCTTTAACACGCGTCCCTGCTCTAGAGTCACAGCCATGCCCGTTCTGTCCTTGGCGCTTTTGCAGGAGGTAAAGCGCATGCCACATAACTGGCGGCACACATCCTCGGCCAGATGCAACACCTTCACATTCTTGGACACCTTGGCGCACACGTGGGTTTTCATAGCATTGAGCAAGGTCTGAAGCGTTTGGCGCGACTTGGGCGTGACAGCGGCCGTTTCGAGCTTGCTGGGCGTATCTGGCGCCTGAAACGGCAACTTGCTGTAGCGTATGAAGTACTCGTTCAGTCGTAGAAAGTTATCCCAGTTTGAACGATGCTGACCACGCGTTTGACCTAATGTTTCGGCCACCGTCGCCTTAGCATCAATGCCTATGTTGAAGAAAACGGGTGTGATTTTGAAAGTAAGTGGCGGCTGAGTGGTAGATAGCAATCCGATGTTATATAGATGCTCTGGCACTGGCAGCAGGACTTCCAGCGATTGACGTGAGCCTGTAATGCGGGGCATTGGCACGCTGGTATCGCTGTATTGAATGATTATGAATAAAAGTTATTCATACGAGGAAGCCATCCATGTTGAAAGTCGGGACCCTTACCTGGACAGCTGGGCGCGTATTAGAGTGAAATTTACAGAAGACAAGTCCTCAATGGCCACGCACATATCGCTCCACATGTCCGCCTCTCCACCGTGGAGCGAGAGCAGGCCTTCGAAATATGCCAGCGGACCGAGATCGCGCAGCAAATGAAAATAGTTCGCATTCAGCTCGGTGGCCCAGAACTTAACCATCAGTGCGCTGACCAGCGCCGTGAGCTGTTGGCAGAATAAAATGGGTTAATAATAGTTAGTCAACACGCAAAGGTTTTCGGCAACTTAAGCAGCAGCTCCTTACACATACATACGTATTTATGTACATCTGTATGTGTACAAATGCACATACTCGACAAAACATAAATTAATTCTATTTATACATTTACGAAATCGTCGAGCTTGGGTCTAAAATGCTCTCTCCTGCTTACTAAAAAAATGTATCATGCCGATAAATATTGAAGAGCGGAACGTTAAATATACTGAAACTAGAGATTTTGTGAATTTTCCTTCTACCTTTCATTTGCCAATCAACTTTCATATTTGCATTCTAAAATAAGAATTCGTACTTGGATGCGTTTTAACCAGTAACTAACAGTCATCCAGAATATGGTCTAGAGTCTTCTTTCCCCTAGCATAGTCTACAAATGTTCTAAAAAATGACTATACTTAAAGGTGTAGACTTTGCTATCCTCTAGCTAAGACTCCCGTACTACAGTATTGCATTATCCGCCATACACTAAAGCTATGCAAGCAATGTATTCTTATTTCTTTTATTTTTAATTGCATCCATATTGGCTATTCCTATGACAATAAATCGTAAAACCTATTCCACGCATTATCTTCTGTTAGGCTGTGATACTTGCTGATACTTACGCCAACTGCCCTTCATTCTAAAAATGAAACATTTTCTTATCACTGTCTTTTGCTCTGCCTTGAATGCCGTTGAGTTTTTAGCATGGTTTCTTGCTTAAGTCAACCAAGACCCCACCGATTCCACAAAAAGAATACGGACCCTAACTACCCGTCCATAGGCACATATTTCTATATACAAGCGCTAGAGCTTTGGATCTAACTGTGCCTGTTAATGAACGCATCTCATACAATCTTGCATCTCATAGACTCCAAAACAATTAATTATGTTATAGGAAAGGGAGAATGCTATTTAGTAGCATTGCTAAAAATGGCCACTTATTGAACTTTATTCTATAATGGACTTGATAAGTTTTTGAACTTTGAGTCACCTCCGTTCGTAATTAAAAAGAGGGTTCCCCTGATAGGCTATGCACCATTCTAGGTGCTGTCCCTAATTCCTTACCGCTTGGGAGAAGCACACATCGCGTCGATACATGATATCCGCATGCACACTATTGCTGCGCATGTCCTGCTGCAGGCGCTGCACGGAGTGCATCAGACGTGTCGTCTTGAGTAGTCGATCCATAGCATGACGTAGCTTACGCATCGATGGCCGTAACTCGGACGCCCAGTCTGTAGTCAGAGAGAGATCAAGGCCATCGGTGAACTTGTTGACCATTTTATTAGGTACCGGATATTGCGGCTGAGAAGGTGTGAGGTCCAGGGTCAATTGCTGCGTTTGAGGAGTTGTTACCACATCTGGTGGCTTCTGTTGTTTCTGATGCTGTGGTGATGTTGCAAAGCCTTCACGTTTTAGATGCTGCTTTGGATGACGCAGTCGAATAGCTGGACTATCACAGCGACCGCAGAAGAATTTGATTTTGCTCACGAGACACATGACACTTGCCTTAATGTTCAACTGCGTCAGCTCAAGTGGCTCCGGTTCCTCAGTGGGCCGATAGTAGTTGGCCGATGGCGATGATGTCATAATTTGTGTGTCCAGGAAATCGGCGGCTGTAAGTGGTTGGAGTGGAGCAACGGTTGGAATTGACGGCTTTTCGTCCAGATCGATCAGTAGCAGTTGCTGCTGAGGTTCACTCTCCTGACAATCTACAGGCAGAGATTGATATGTGGCCTTACTGATACCAGCTTCAGCTTTCTTGGGCCTACAAGTAGACGAGGCTTGAACAGGATTGAGGCTACGCAAGTGCTTGCTGTAGCATTGCACGACTTGCTGCAAAGAATCAATCGTATTAATGTCCAGTGCTGTCGAGGGTGATGGGCTTGGATGCCAGCTATTGGAGCGCATTAGAACGAAGCCTGACGTAGATGTATTGCGGGAGGTATGGGGCCAAAGATCGGGCGGTGCCACCACAGGTGTGGCAAAGTCCTCCAGTTCCGGCGACTTTAAATCCAACGCATTAAGCTGTTGTGTAATTTCGCGGAAGGGTGAAAGCGGCTCCATTAGCACATTGTCTGGTTCCTCTATGATACGATGCTGCTCAATGAAATTGACTGCCTCCTCCACGATAATCGGCTCCCAGATATTAAGTAACGATTTGGATTTTTCGATCATGGCGTTGCAGAGCGGCATCATGCCCTTAACGCTCTTACATTTGGCCAGATTGAGCAGCTGCGACATTAACTCAACGATCTCCTTTCGCAGTTGCTTGGCTGCCTGCACGGCGTCATTGGCGGCCTGGACCTTACAGGCATTGCCTTGGCCCAGCTTCCAAGCTTTGCTCTCCTGCAGCAGTCTGGAAAATAAGTTCCGAAGCTAGTTAATATGTCAAGCTGTCATATGTACTTTGTGAGGTCTGCCGCGCCTCCTTCTGCCTGCAAACATGTATAAATGCAGCAAGTTACATTTATCAACTTACTTGATTAGTCCGCCTCGACCTTGGCCATCGTGACGAGTAAAGGCACCAACAGTGACCACATCCAGGACGCCAGTGTGCTGAAGCGTATCATTGCGCACCCACATGCGCTGCAAATGCAAATTTACCGGCAGAAACTCCAACGACTCGTCATTTTTGTCTGTGGATCGCTTGAAGCTCATTCCGTCGCCATCGCGCATCACCTGCTGTATTGTCTGCTTGGCCTGTGAGTAGTCTTTGAGCAGACGCAAGTGCTCCTCCAGCAAAGTTATTTGGCGCAAACGCCAGTCACCGCTCAGCTCCCCCATACCTGATATCTCCTGCAGTAGCTCTTTTTCGCACTGTATCCAGATAGAGAGCAGCTGCTGTGGAACGCTGAAGCACAAACGTGACTCCATCAGTGTCTCTTGCACTCTGATGTCGGCACCCAGGGTCGATTGCAAGCGGTAGGTGCGAAGACGCGGATTGGTGCAGACCCGCTGCAAGCCGCACTGCAGAGGAATACATGAACCAGCTCCAAGTTTCGGCGGCAGCGAATGGGAGCGTCGATGTCCAGCTGAAGCGCAAAATAATAATTATAATTATTGAAGGCTATATATTAACTGACTTTAGTAAAGTAACTAAATTTTAATAAAAATAACATACTCGCACGTTTCAAAAGCATTTAGTTAATATTTCCCTAAGGGCACAAATTCCGCAAGCTAGTTGGGTGCACACAATTCTTGTATTTTTATAGCCTGTACCCAAAGGGTGAAAGGCTATACTAGTTTTATACGAATGTATGTAACACACAGAAGGAGGCGTGGCAGACCCCACAAAGTAAATATATTAATCAAGATGACAAGACAAGTCGATATAGCCATGTCCGTCTGTCCGTCCGTCCGTCTGTCTGCATGAGCGCAAGGATCTCAGGAAGTACAAGAGCTAGAATAACTAAACTTGGTATCGAGGTTCCCCTAAGTCCTAGGCAGATGAAGTATTTTTTTATTCGGATACACCCCTCACTCCCCCGCAATTCGTGTTTTTTTATAACTTCCGTAATTCTTGGAATTTTGAAATCAATTTTGGTAGTTACATCCAGTTAGTGCTTATGTGCCCGTGTGCCAAGTTTCATCACGATGGGTCATTTCTGAAGAAAGTTATAGCCATAAATAAAATCGCTGCCTGTAGCTCTGCCCGCAGCTATTGTTGTTGCTACTTTGGTTCAACTGCATGCATACACGCATACAAACACGCATAGACACGTGATGTTAATGTAAAACCGTACGGAGTACAAGCCATCTACGTGCATAATTTGGTGTCTAGCTCTTATAGTCTCTGATATCTAGGTGATCATACGGACGGACGGACAGACAGACAGACAGGGCTAAATCGACTCGTCTTGTCATGCTGATCAAGAATATATGTATGTATATACTTTTGTACTTGTACATTTCATGTACAGAGTATAAAAAGACCCGACAACAACACACAAAGACGAACACAACATATGTACATACATATATGAAAACATAAAATTTGGTTAATGTTTAGGATTCGACATACCTTTGGCTATGTTACCCATTACAAGGATCTAATAACTAAACTGCTTCAACAATATTTATTGGGCATCAAAATAGCACTTAGTAAGACGACACCAAAACAGGAATGCTTTGAATTAAAAACAGCTGACTTTGACGGCTGTTGCAAACTTCCAGGGGTACATTATTTTATGCTCTATTACGGTATTCAAACTTATTTTCAAAAATTCAAAAAAAATAATTTTTATTTTATGCCAAAATTTTTGCAATTCCGACCAGCGTGCATTGGCCAAAATCGTTCGCGAATAAAGTTAGCAAAAACGTATTTTCAGCTCACCTCGATCTCGAGTGCTTCCGTGTTCGAACACCTGCGTTATGGAGCGGGGTGGAGCCGCCGCTGCTGTTACAACTGATGTCGCTGCATCGTTACTACAGGTGCCACTCCCCAGGCAATCCGGCGCCCACGAGGCTAGCGTAAGAAAACCACACTCGCCACGTGTTGACCGTAAGGGTATACGAAAGCGCGTAGCATCCTGAAAAACTCCCAGCGTCATCGTGGCAGAGCCGATAGGCAGTGATGTGGCCGATAGACGTTCGCGCACATCGTAGACAGTGAATCGTAAACGCGTCTGGGCCGTAAATCCGGCGGTTCGACGGAAGCGCATAGTGCAAAGAAACTGCGGAGAGCACGATCGTTCAATTATCTCGGTACGTGCGTGTGGCCGCCATATGTACCCCTGGTCCGGGTGTAGCACCGAGCAAATAATGCGGGCATTTGGCGCGCGATTCTGCAAATCAAGCGGCAGATTATCACAGGAGAGCGCCGTTTCGCAAATGGGCAGTTCCGACAGGTCTGCAAGAGTAGGAAAGAGCGCTAGTTAATCGACAGCTCATTTTGTGGTTAGATATAGGGTTAATCAACATAAAACAAAACAACTCGGTCAGTTAAATTTTAAATATAAAATAAATTTTATTCTTTGAATAAATATTTATCGTTTGAAGGATTAGAAATTCGCACTTGCCCTGAAGCACTCGCACTCTTCAAGTAAACTCTTGGTAAATCCAATTCGACAATAATTATTTGAATGTAATAGTTTTGATTACTTAGCTTAGAAAATTTTGAGTTTAGCTAAAACTCGAAAAATCTCTTGCTTTAACAAATTAATCCAAATCTGAGCTTCCGCTTACATGTAAAATTAAAATTAAGGAACTGTGTGAGAGTCTGGCAAGAGATCAAGTGCTTTTAAAGCTAAGCAAAAGGCTTGTGTCTGCTTGAGTGCGACGATGGCAGAGCGAACTTTTCTACATCTTAAAACACCATTTATGCCTGGCATAGGCCAATGTATATATTAATATGTACATGTATGGGTCCAATTCTGCAATAACGCTATACAAGTCGTACACTGCGAATTTGCGAATTCTTCTTGAGATTGGAGGAATATATAAACAGTAATAAAAAATAAATATAAAAAAAGGCACAACAATGTAAACCAAATAGAGCGCAATGCATATCCACCACAATGTAGTCCACATTTCATAACTGTATAAGATCACCTTCATTAAAAGGCATCTGCCGCTGCTGATCCTTGGACTTTTGTTTTGGCGGCAATGGTGGCAGTTGCTCGTCTTCAAGCCATTTGGACATAGCAGGTCCTGAGGTCAACGGTGGCGCTGCATTCAGCAAGAGTGCATCATCAGCACCTAGAAGATCCAGTGGAGTGCCCACTTCAATGATATTACCCATGTTTTTGCGATGTTGCACCTTACTGGCCGATGCCGCAGCTATTTGATTCTCCAAAGCAATTATTTGGCTATTCAGTGATTTGTAGGAAGAATTCTCTATGCGCCGTATCCAGTCTTCACGTTCCTCCGCGTTTTTGGCTCCAATGCGCAACGGTTCGCAACCTTGGAAATCTGAGAGAAATTCAATTAGCACAGAATTTAACCCCGAATGACAGAGTTCACTTACTAAGGACGATTTCATAGCCAATATCGGGATCGGGTTCCTTTCTCAATATTATAGGACTGCAGTTCTCCAGCACAATAAGGCCACCGACGGGCGAATTGCAATCAGCTTCTTTTAAATAGAAAAGAAGATTTCCACGCAGTTTGCACCAACGAAGATTTGTCACTACAAGTATGCAAACAAACAAAAATATAAGAATGTGCGTAAACTTGGACATGATTCAGCAATATATATACATATTTATTTTATATGTCTACATCCAAATGTAATTTGGCGTAGCGCAGGATCTATAAATCCACGAAATTTGTCTTAGGAGGCACCATTATTGACTACAAGTCATCTATATATGTACCTTCATACGCACACATATGGGACGGATCGAATCCAATTAGCGATCACCGCCTTTCCGTCCATTTGTATAGAAATTGACTAGATCAGACCACTACATTATAAACATTCATATATATGTAGTACATAGAAACATTATATTTTTTTTTTATGAACAACTGTTTCTTGGTTTTTAAAGACATTAGATCCGGATTGTAGCTTGTTACCAGACTTCAGAACAACGATTTATCTTTAGCCATAAGAAAACTATATGTACTTGTATACGATTTTGGTTGTAGATGCCTGAAATAGTGCCTTACCATAATTGTCTCCAAAAAATTGCCTCTGGCGCGACTGGCGCTCCCTTATGAGGAGGTGACCTTCCTTGTCAAATCTGGTTTTCGGATTGTTGGCCAGGGCTTCTACCTCAGTTTCGTTGAAGTGCATTCTTGTGGCAGCGACTCACTATTACTGAGCAAATCTTTCCAATTTAAAACTTAGGTCCAAAAACTCAGCTATTAATCACAAGGTGGCGGAAATGATGGCGATGTGGGCAACTGCAATCATCAAACTACGTTACTTTGCTTACAAAAATAGTTATTTTCAAATACATGGGTATGCATGCATATATACATATTTATATATGCGACGCACCCACATAAATACATATTAATTGAACAGAAAGAACGACATGTTCTTTTTACACTAGAAGACAAGGTGTTACAGGGGAGATGTGGATGCGCCTGTGTATGTGACCACAGGCAAGGGCTGACAACCAGTAGCTGGGTGGTGCTGGTGGGGTCTATACATATTGTTCCCAAATATGTATGTATGTATGTACATTTATATACATACCGCTCAAAACGTCATCATTAACTGCCAACGTGCAAATGACGTTGACAACAGCATTGCTTTCTGTCCACAGGTCGAGTTACTTCTGATGCTTTACAAGTATACCCCCTTCAAAGCGTCTTGCTATTTTGTGAAACACAAAAAGGAACCAATCTCGCTCGGTTGCTCGGACAGGGCAATTCTCTGGACTACGCGAGCGAAACAATGTGTTACGTCTTCGATTTGTTTTGCTGATGCTGAGAAAATCAGCATTTGTTTGGGTCATCCACCAGGTAAATTTATATTATTCGATTTATTTGGAAACACTTATGACAAAACCCATAAAGGTGCGCACGGCAAGGCCGAACACTAATCACGAGTGTGACCGTCTGCAATGTATATTGAAATACCGCACATTTGACTGTTATCGATGCACATCAATTGACTGATGCTAAGAAATAGGTAGCACTTTTATGTTTGTTGAGTGGCAACACTCTCAGCAAGTGTGCCGGTTTTTTTTTAAAAGAATTTGCGAAATTAGTTATATTACTCAACTAATTGCTTAACTTGCACTCCAATGTGGATCAATTGTACCAGTAATCCTTAGTTGTTTGAAAAGCTATGCCTACTCCGCGGAAAGATCAGATTTTTGAAGCCTACCTTGTGCACAGCACATTATGAAATGATAATTGCGCACCGGCCACATCGGTAATGCTTTCGCGCTGGCTTGTCACGTTCTGCTCGTAGTTTTCTCTTTAGTATTCATTGAGAAAGCGAACGTTTCGTGAGTTCTTGCTGCGCAGTTCAAGTCGTGCGTCGTCGTTATCATTCTTACGTTGCACTGAAAGTCAAAATATAACTGTTTTCGAATTATTTTCGAGTGTTTTTTGTTATTGTGCGGCATTTTGTTATAAATTCATAGTAAAGTGAGGATTCGTGATGGCAGTCATCTTGGCTGTGTTGTCGGTTTTTGGAGCCGTGCTGAGCTAAATCCGCGCTTGAAATGCATTATGTATGAGAATGTCTTATGTGTGACTGCGTATTAGTGTGAGTTTGAAGGTGGTATACCTGGGCTAAAAGAAAGCAACAGAAGACAATATAAAACGTGTACTCAAAGCACCGCATTTTTAAGCCGTAGTTAAAGTTGAAAGCAGCAGTCGTGTTTGTTTATGTATATGTGTGTGTACCACGTATATGATGGTATAATGAATTACATGGTATGGCACGCCGTATGCTCGTTTTTGTATGTTCCCTTTGTGACGTCACCAGTAAGAGTGCGTTTTAGCCAAAATCTGTAAAGTGTCGTTTTCACGTGCGACTCTACAACCAAAAGTCTTACAAACACTTGTCTGAATGCTGATACTTTCTGGTTTTGAAAAGATAACACGTACTTTTAATAGTTATGCATATTTCCATACCGGAATTACTACTACAGTAATTCAAACAAAAATTGTATGACTTAAAAATTAGGACTGGTTGAAAATTAAAAGCAAGTAGTATTTAATTAACCGTGGAGTGCTATACAAATTTCCATCAGATATGTATGTATGTATGTGAAAATATAGCAGCCAGCTCATTTTAGGATAATGTGTGGTTATTGACGTATGAACATGCGGAGTGAGAGTGAAAAAGTAGCATCATGCCTTGTTGTTTTTTGTACCATTCAAAATGCCGGCAGAACCGGTTTAGCAAGTGACCAAAGCAAGAGACCCAGTTGCATAGCAAGCCAGCAAAAACAATAAAGAAATAAAACAACAACAACCACATCAGCAGAGCTGTGAATGCCAATGTCAATGCCTCGGATGCTGTTAAATACATCCCTCTCCATATCCTCGCTGTCTGTGGTACAATGTATTATATTTAACAGCCATGCCCAGGTTCTTATTCTTTAATTAGCGTAAATGGACTTACTTATGTCTTATCGACCAACTTTTTAATCGAAAACATACCTTAACTGTGAGAGCACTGATTAAAAACTGTTTACGTACATCGCAGGCACGTATGTATGTATGTTTGTAGACGTGCGAGCTTACCAATCTGTTAATATTGCTTAAATGTAATTGTAATACTTATTGTATCTTGGTCTATTGTAATTGTAGTTTTAAACTATTTCCATAACGAGTCGAACGCTAGAGATGCATGCGCCTCTTTCTGATATACCCTATACCTGATTCAGTAATTAAATCAATTTAATTTCTTCATTATCCAGAGGGTAAAAGGGTTTACATACTAGTTTAGTGGGAATGTATGTTACACACAGAAGGAGGCGTGACAGACCCCACAAAGTACTTGTGTATTATTGATCAGTATGACAAGACCAGTCGATATAGCCTTGTCCGTCTGTCCGTCTCTCCGTCTGTATGAGCCCAAGTACAAGAGGTAGAATAAACAAACTTAGTATCGAGGTTCCTGTAATACCAAGGCAGGTCATGTTATTTTTATTCTCCCCCACTCCCCCGATATTAGTGAATTTCCAAAACATTTACTCAAATTCGACAATAACGTCCAGTTAGTGCTTATCTGTCATCATGTTAAGTTTCATCGTGATACGTCAATTGTTAAGAAAGTTATAGCCATAAATGTTATCTCTGCCCAAGATCTGCCCGCGATGTTGTTGTTGCTGCTGCTTTGACTTAATTCTGTACTCTACACATACACGCACATAGACACGATCCCGTTGTAAATGTATGCCTTTATAACCGTACATATGTAAACATGCATACTATGTATATAGTATGTATATCCACTTTTGTATTTTTTAATTGAATATTTTTGATTTTATTTAATTCATTTAATTTTATTTAGTTCATTAAAAACATTCTTTTTATTTATATTTGTTGTTGTTGTGGAATCGGGTATAGGGTATTAAAGAGTTGAGCCCGCTCGACTCGCAAGAAAGGAATGCTACCTTTCTTGTTTTTTATATAAATATTACATAATTTTTCCATCCTGTACCCAAAAGGTAATATAGTCTACTAGTTTAGTGCGAATGCAGGTAACATATAGTGGCAGACCCCACTTATGTATATACAGTGAAAACTCCCTTAATGGACACCTCTTTTATTCGGACACTCTCTTCGGCGGACACTTTTTCTAAAAATTCGATTGGCTTATAAAGTATTTAAGTATCCCCTTAGGCGGACATTCCCCTTGGGCGGACAAAAATTGGCCGATCGTAAGTGTCCGGCCAAGAGAGTTTTCACTGTATATTATTGATCAGTATGACAAGACGAGTTGATTTAGCCATGCCCGTCCGTCCGTCTGTATAAGCGAAAGCGTCTCAGCAAGAGCGAGAATAAATGAACTTGGTATCGAGGTTCCCCTAAACCGTAGGCAGATCAAGTTCTTGTTTTTCTGATACACCTTCCCACTTCTTCGCTATTTGTGATTTTCTATGCCTCCCGCAATTCCTGGAATTTGTTATTCAAGCGTGACATTTAAATTAAATTTGTTTGGTTTATGTGGGAGTGGGTACAGAGAATTTAAGCGATTGGGCCACTCGACTCTAGAATTCCTTTCATGTTTTATTAAAGAAAGGGGGTCCAAATACTAACCGGCGTGTCATCCATAGAGCTCAGGCAGTCGACTCGCTGTTAAAACCCACACACAAAAGAGGACACAAATGCGTTTGCTTCTACGTTCTCGTAATAATGTCACTATTCAAGTTGCAGCATCGCTTGGGGTTGTGTGTGTTTCTCTCGCTTCCTAAGACTTCACTCTATGTACATACTTGTATTTATCGCTGTTACCACATTTGACTCGGGAAACACCGTTACGTTCTTACGAGCTGGGCATGTGCAAGTGGCTATTATCGTTCGATTCGACGCTGTGCATCTGTGCATTGTGCCACTCACGCACGGCGTCTTGATATGTTCGTGAATTTTCCCACCACTCTCCGCCCGCATTGTCATTTCTGGTGTGTCTGCAGCTTTGTTACTTGCTTATACCTTGCTCGCTACCTCCAAACAACCCGTTCAATATGCTCCATTTGAAGGCGCAGCCAAACTAGCCGCACCTTTTTCCTCTAAAAGCCGAACTTTTGTTTGTATGTATGTATGTACATACTGATGATCGACGGCCTTTTAATGATTATGGTGAGCCCCAAAGAGAATTATTTTTCATTTGAGCGACATTGAGTATTGTGCTATAAAAAAAAAAAACGATAGGAAATATAAAAACCTAATTTTCCCCAACTTTAAAAATGATACACAAAAACAAATTTTCAATATTTAGCACAGAGAATTTTTATCAGTTTTCGGTACTAGCTCAATACATTGTTATTTCAAGCCTTTAGTATTAGAACCTGGGCGTTAACAAAATACATTTTATATGGTGGGTATCAAGTGCTCGGTTGAGTGAGGAATATTTGAATTACATATGTATATGTACACCTAATTATGTTTTTACACGGTAGATTGGTTCCAGAAACAAGCGTGTAAAAAAAGACATTGATCATACGCAAAAATACGTGATTGGTTCCTTATCTCTAAAGAAATATACATACATATATGCAATTTTTAATTTTCAAACCGTGTTATATCAAAATCGTGTAAAAAAGAACGTGTAAAAACAGAATTATTTGTATCTAAATTTCGGTCTCCAGTTGGCATTGGGAATTCACGTTTCACGCGTGAACCAACACACCTTTACGCCTCCGCCCTATTTGTCACCCATCGCCAAGTGCTAATTTCAGCTAAAAACGGCGACTAAAGTCATTATATATCCCCATATATCTATGTACGAGTATATATATTTCCTTATCTATTTGTGCTGATCAAACGTTGCCATTGCATCGCAACGATTGTTTGTCCAACTGTCCCCGTTTTCCAGTCTCCACAAACTTCCTCCCTACTTCTTTGTTGTTTACCTTGTTGTGCACAACAGAGCGTGAACGCAGCCGCATGCTTAGTACGCGCAACGACATAAATATGTACACACATACATACATACGCATATACGAGTATATGTATGTGTATGTACGTAGATTTGTGTGTACGCGTACTTGTTCTGAGACGACTACGCTGACAAATTGTTGACATATTTATATAAAAAAAAGTCTATGATTTCGCTGTTGCGGTTGTGTAAGTTTTGCAAGGTTATCAAGCCTACAGATGCCGCTGTCTCCGCCTTCTCCAAATCACAAGTATCTATATGTATAATATATATATGTACATATGTATGTATGAAGTACATATATGTATGTATGTATGAACACACACACACATACCCTTTGCCTCTATCTTGGCACGTTGACTTGACACTTTTGATAATGGGTGACGATGTTTGTTGTGCCATTAAACCAAATTAAATGTCAATATAGCGGGCAACAAGTTAAACAATGTGCGAGCGACATAGTTTACAGTAATAATAACAAATTGCGCTTAGACAACGAGCTTTTGAAACCGTCGACAGGTGCGGAAATCTGTAAACGCTGACGTATGTACATACATACATACATACTCGTATGTGTTCGAGTGACAGCCAATTATGCTATAAATTATTGATTAAATCTGTGAATGAACTGCTATAAGTATTTGGCAACAGTTTTTATTTCCCTATTTATACACATATGGACATTTCCACAGAAAGTCCACCGTGACCGAAAAATTAAGAGTTAACTAACAGTTTTTCCTTACCTATAATTACTTATTCTTAATTTATTAAAGAGAAATGTTCAAATTTTATTAAATTACAGAGTTGAAATCTCTACCTAGTCGCAATGGCGAAATATAGACCTACAAAGTTCAAGTTAAGGTTTTGGTCAGCTTCGTATATTTTAAGAGGATTTTATCTTTACCATTTGCGATTCCAAGAGTTATTGTGCAAATGCGCTCTTATTGAAAAATGCTAGCTACAACAATAACAAACCTTCAAATAAATGCAGAAGAGCAAACCAATATCAATTAACCGTAAAATTTTGTTTATTTGCTTTTACCCATCTTCTAATGTAACGTCACGTCAGAAAAAATATCATCTACTCTAATTATCTATTCGCTGATGATCGCTAGGTCGTGAACATTTGAAATTAAACATAGTTTAATAAAGTT